TGTGGAACAAGGTAGGCTTGGCATTAAACGAGTCAGAGAGGTTAATGATAGCTTATTAATCAAGTGGTGGTGAGATTTGGGATTGATAAAGAAGCTTTGTGGAGGAGGGTAATCTGTAGCAATTGTAACCTAGAGTAGGATAGTTGGGTTCCATCATTTAGATTTAGTAGCAGGTATTCTTGTGTATGGAAAGACATCATATCTTTAGCAGATCGCAGAAACAGATTAATGGAATTCTTTTTGAACAACCTGATTATAAAGGTTGGTGATGGATCTAGAGTCCAGTTTTGGAAAGACAAATGGTGTGTGAATGCGTGTTTGGAAAAAGAGTTCCCTGTTCTTTTTAGATTGGTAGTTGACAAAGTAGAATCATTCAGATCAATGTATGAGAAAAGAGATGGTTCATCTAATTGGATATTCAATTTCCGAAGGAGGCTGTTTGACTGGGAGTATAAGGAGGTTTCCAGACTCACTGATTTTCTTTTGGCTGCTCTTAACATCAGTTTTGATCAAACTAATATGCTATCTTGGGCTGCCACAAACTCAGGTGTGTTTTCAGTACTGTCTATACCAATTTTTTGAACACTCTTTTGGTCCTTATCTGTTAACCAACAAGTTTATATGGATTAAGTATCTCCCATCCAAAGTTCAATTTTTCTGCTGGCTTTCTTGGAAAAATAAAGTCAAAACCTCTGCCTTTCTCCATAGATTTGGTGTAATACCTACTAGTGCCTCAATACTTTGTATATTTGTAAAAAGGAGATTGAATCAGTGAATCATTTACTGTTGTACTGCCTATTTGCTTGGAGTGTATGGTCTCATATGTTGAGTTGGTGGGATTTACAAGGGGCCCTCCCAGGAACAATTGATAGCTTATTACTATGATGGGATTGTGTTAGTCTAAACAAGAGGGAGAGAAAGATTTGGAGAGCTATTCCTCCTACTGTGTCGTGGTCTTTATGGAAACATAGAAATGATTGTATGTTTAATAATTCTTCACCAAATCTACCTGAATTATGTGAAGAGCTCAAGATTAGAATTGCTATTTGGTTAAAACCAATCCTCAAGGAGTATCACTTTATTGTTCAGGATTTTATTTATAATCTTAGAGGCATCAGATATTGTTTGGGTGGAGTATGCATTGGTGGAGGTTTAGATGACCTTGAATCTTTGAAGTGTGGCCCGAAGCTTGGTGCTATTTTCTGGAGTGTTCTGCTGTATATTGTTATGGTCTGGCCTCGATTTCTTTGGAGTGTGGTTTGCATTGGTGTGAGATCTTCTGGGTTTATAAGGAGGCTGCCCTGTTATTAGGTGGGAAGATTGGGCTCAAGTTCTGGGGTTTACGAACTGTAGATAAGGTATATATGTGAAAGTGTTCATTAAACCAGCAGGTTCAATATTGCATTAGGAATGGGTGTTGATCTATCCATGTGTCAGTTTGTTTAATTAGTTGAATTCTTCATATAGGAGCAGTATTCACTAAAATTTGTGTAGATGGCTGAGGAGGGCAGCTTCTGTGTTGGTGCTTGTTGTTGGTGAGTTTGGCTGCTATCTTTGGGTGTTTTGCTTCTTGGCTAATCTTGACGGCTGCTGCTGGATTGCTTTGCTTAGGTGAAGTTTTGTATCAGAAATGGCTCAAGTTTGGTGGCATAAAACAATTGTTTGGTAAGGTGTAGTCTTTTACTCTACTGCTATCACTCTGCTGTTAATTCTTTGCAGTTTAGATTTTTTTAAGCTCTTCCCTAGTCTTTGGCTGCTGCTATTTTTGTTTGTTGCTGGTGCTGTGTGATGTTACTGCTGTTTTGTGGGTAAGGTATGTGTCTATGGTCTACTAAAAGACTTGGTGACAGGTTGCTGATCTGGTCTGGCCTGTTCAGAGGATTGGTCTAGTCTAATTTTGGCTTCTGTATGCTGCTAGTCTATTTGATTGGTTTAGTCTGTGCAGGAGACATCTGTGCAGCTAAGGAGGAGTTGAAATGTTGATGCTCTAGTTTTTGCTCTGTTGATGATGGTTTTATTGTTTTGTTTTTCTTTTTCCTTTGTTCCTTTTGATTAGTTTCTTACCAATCTTGGGTCAAGTGCTTACAATGAGTGTGCTTCCTTAGCAGTGCCAACCTAGTTGGGAATGATACGGTTAGCGTTGATGCTCTTTGCACTTCTCTTTTTGTTGATGTAAGCTTTTGCATATAATGTTTTCTTCATCAATAAAGTTTCATTTTGCTGATTAAAAAAAAAAAAAACATTTGATAAATGTACACGGTCACAATAATTTTAGATGGGTATGATAATAAGTATCCAAAATTTTATCTAGAAAAACAGTGTCCATCTATATTTCTATATTATAAATTATAGTAAAGTGACTTTTTGTGATAAGCCTTATCGGAGCTCCAAAACTTTCAATTGAATTTTTTAATTTTTGAATTAAAAAATAATTAAAAAAATACTATCGGCTAACACATTAATGTAATAACTGAGATTATTTCATTTTTACCACTATACTTTGTCACGATTTTCAATGACCCCCCAGACTACTCTTATTTTCACGCGTACCCCTATACTATTTAAGTTACTATCAATTTTGCCCCTGCCACAACCACCAACTTCATCGCCACCGAACTCCATTACCGCCACCACCATTACTAGTTCCGTTACCACCTAGAACCATGTTCCACAGCATGTTATAGATGAAGAAGAAGAAGAATGAGGAAGATGGAGAAGAAAGAAACAAAAGATGATTGTTTTGAAATTTTCAAAATTAGTTTTTAGACAACTTTTGGCATACCAAAACCGCCCATTACACGATGAAGTGAGAAAACGAGATAGTGTAGGGCAAAATAGGAAGTGAGGTGAAGAGAATGGTGAAAGAATGAAGTAGAACCATTAAGAATCGAGAAAGATATGAAGTCCAAAAGATGGCTCAAAGAAAAGTCGAAAATGAGAAGAAAAGTCTTATTTTTTCTTATCAACTTTCGGAGCTCCGATAACAAGCAAAAAGATGAAGAACGAGACGTATGAGATGTGATACAAAAACTAGAAAGTGAGTTGAATCCAACGACGTAAAAATGAGGCGAAACGAAGTCATGACAAAAGAGATAGAAGGGCTTGAAGTGATGGTTGCTGGTAGAAAAATGGTAGTCTGCATATTTCTTTTGAAATTTGGGGCCAAAATGTAATTTTTTTAACTTTTTCCGTTTCAAATCTGGCAGCAGGGGTAAAATTGATAGTAACTTAAATAGTATAGGAGTACGCGTGAAAATAAGGGTTGTATGGGAGGTCATTCAAAATCGTGACAAAGTACAGGGGTAAAAATGAAATAATCTCGTAATAACTATAAAAAATACTAATTATTCCATGATTTAAGATTTTCAAAAGGAAAGTTAAAAAGAAATCTTTCTTAATTTGTCCAAACCTATTATCTCTTACAAGAATCTTAAAGGAAAGATTAAAATTCCTTCTTCTTTTTTTAGAGAAATATGATAGAGATTTTGTGATGATTCAACATGTAAAGAAGATACCTTTGTGTTAACATTTAATAATTAAAAATATTTTGTCTGCCTATATATATAAATATATATATTTTTTAACAATAAGTATTTTAATTGTTTGTATTATAACATGCTACTACCATTTTTTCCAGGTTATAACTGTGTTTGTAGATACTTTTAAATGTCTTAAATTTATTTACTAGCAGCAAGTTATACATGAGGGGCAAAATGTATTCTAACAGATTTTAAAAATCTATTAAGATTAAATTTACGTATAGCAAAATTGGGCAAAATTAATAAGTCAAAGTAATTATATATATATATATATATATTTACGATTACACAGTTTACGTATAGCAAAATGAGCAAAATTAATATTGTTATCAAATAATATTACATTGCAATTATGTTAGCATAATTTAAGAAAAACAATATGGAGAGACTAATATGAAAAAATTTCAAAATTGTATTTTAAATTGTTACATAGAAAGTACATATGTAACAAAAATTATTAATAATTACATATTTATTTTTTTTGTTAAAAATACATTTATCATATTTGTTTGGTTTAATTTTTTTAAATTGTTTTTGAGTGTTTTTTTTTGGTCTTCAATAAACTCTTTTTATTTTTTAATATTTCATTCAAATACACCTACAAAAAAAGATGTTTAAGAAATAAATTTAAAAAAAAAAATTACGAAAAATGTATCATTTTTTTTTGCTTTAATTTTTGACCATTTTCTTTTTTAGTATTTTTTTTCTTTCAATTTTCTTCCCAAATTTTACTTTTTTAGGTGCATTTAGATTAAGTGTATCAAAAAATTTTAAAAAATAATTAGTGAAACATGAATTTTTTTTTATTCTTTTTTTTACAAAAGATAAAAAAAATTAAAAATTAAAAAAAAACTCAAAAATTGTATTTGAGTTTAAAAAAATCTACTTTTCTATTTTTTTTCCATAGCCAAATTAAATTATACTTATTAATGAAATTAGATATACTTTCTTTATAAAATTATTAATTGGAGCAGGGCTTGTTGAGTATTATTGTCCCGTAATTTTTTTTTTAAAATTTTATTTATAGATGAATTTGAAAATAAATTATAAGTCCGATCCCAAATTGTGCCGGACTAAATTTTAAAAAATAACTTTAAATTTTATTATGTAATATAGGCCCTTTCTAATCTGCCAAGCCCACTTATGTCTACCTTTTTTTTTTATTAGCAAAAAAAGAACTTTATTGATGAAAAGACATACATTACATATAAAAAAACATCAATAAAGAAAAGGAAGTGCAAAAAGCATCATAGTACACCCTCCAATCCCAACTAGGTTGGCACCAAGGAGGGTACCCAATCACTTGCTAGCACAACCAAAGAGTTGGTGAGAAACCAACAAGAAAGAGAAAAAAACATACACCAAGCACCATAACCATCTGCGAACACACCAGCAAACCAACTATCACCAAGTAACTATAGCATGCTCCTCTGAAAGAAGGAGAGAAAACACCCAAACAGGTCAAGACCCACTCCTAATGCAGACTCTAACTTGCTGAAGGTTATGAACTAAGTTATTAACAGAGTACTTGATAGAATGGCAAGAAAATTTAACCCACAAAGCAATTCTAACCTTGATAAATTCACACAACCCATCAAGATCCACCTGAGCATTGTCAAAAATACTATCATTTCTCTGTTTCCAGATCGACCAAAGCACTGCCAGGGGAATTGCTCTCCAAATCATCTTCTCATGTTTTTTGAGCTTAATACCAGTGCACCAGTTTAACAGACCATTGACAAACCCAGGTATTACCCACTGTATACCCCACCAGTGTAAAATCCTAGACCAAATCCTCCATATAAAGAGGCAAAATAATAACACATGATTAACACTCTCCACCTTACATTTACAGAAAATACATCTAAGATCAGCACCACTACTGAGAACTTCAATTCTGTGGAGATAGGTAGAAGTCTTAATCCTACATTTCCAAGCTAACCAACCAAAGAAGTGAACTTTGGGTGGAGAGACATTCTTCCAAATGAAATCTGCTATTCTACTATTACTAACAGGACTCAACTCATACCTCTTATAAACAGAGGCAACAGAAAAGAGCCCTGATACATCAACAACCCATCTCAACCTATCAGATGTCCCTACCCTAAGAGCAGGTGTATTGTAAACCATGTCATATAACCTCTTCAAATCCTTACCTTCCCAGTGGTATAAAGCTCTTCTGAAGCATTGATTGCCCTCCTCAAACCCAATCCTCCTACTGAGTATCAAATTCATAGATTTAACTTTGTCCACTGATAAGGAATACAGTCTAGGAAACTTCTATTTCAAGCAAACATTGCCAACCCAGTGATCCTTTCAAAATTTAGTTCTCCTCCCATCCCCAATAACTATACTTATCTTGCTCTTGAAAAAGTCAACCAGCTCAGGCCTAAGCCAGGCAACACCCATAATACCTTTCCAGATCAGGGAAGATTTGGAGTTAACCATAGGTAATGGCCACCAATCCCTACCAGCCTCAGTGTATTTACTACAAATCACCTACTTCCACAAGGCACCATCTTCAGAACCAAACCTCCACCACCACTTCAAAAGAAGACAATCATTCATAAGTCTAAGTCTCTTGATTCCTAAGCCTCCTTGGCTTTTACTCTGTGAAATCTCCTCCCAACTGATCAGATGTATTTTCCTTCTAAGCTCATCACCTCCCCATAAGAATCTAGATTGAATTTTATCTATTTCCTTTGTAACTCCCCCTAGCATTTTAAACAAAGATAAGTAGTAAATTGGTAAACTACAGAGCACAGATTTTATCAGAGTCAATCTACTAGCAAAGGATAGAAACCTCTTCTTCCAAGAAGCCAATTTTTGTTTGCATTTATCAATTACAGGTTGCCATGTCCTCCTTCTTGTTGGACTAGCTCCTAATGGCAGTCCCAAGTATCTGAATGGTAGACTTTGGTGAAAACAGTTCAATTTGGTAGCAAACTCCTTAGAAAGATCATCATCAATCCCAACCCCATATACCACACTCTTATGATAATTAATCTTCAGCCCAGATAGTATTTCAAAACACCTCAGAATCCTTCTGATCACAACAATCTCCTCCCATTCTGCCTCACAAAATAAGATTGTGTCATCTACAAACTGGAGATGGGTGATCCTAACATCATTTGATCCTACCACAACCCCTTTAATTAACCCCCTCTGCAGAGCTCTCAGCAATAGAATATTGAGACCCTCTGCTACAATATTAAACAGAAATGGAGATAATGGATCCCTTTGACGCAATTCTCTCTCAGGAGTAAACTCAGATGTGGGCGAACCATTTACCAAGATAGAAATTTTTGCTGAGGTTAAACACTCTCGAATCCAACTAATCCATTTAGTACCAAACCCAAAGGTGGATAGCATAGATAAGAGGAAAGCCCAATTAATGGAGTCAAAGGCTTTCTGAAAATCTAGTTTTAGTATAATGCCCTTCTTCTGATTCTTCTTCCATCCATCCACTATTTTGTTCGCAATCAAAACTCCATCCAAAATATTTTTATCCCCAATAAATGTTGATTGAGATTTACTAATAATACTTGGCATAACTTTTTTCATCCTGTTTGAAAGAACTTTGGCAAGAATTTCATATAGGGAACCTATTAGACTAATAGGCCTGAAATCATTAAAGCAAGTAAGGTTATTAGATTTTGGAATCAAAGTCACAAAAGAACTGTTGTGACCATGAACCAATTTAGAGTTTTGATGGAATTCCTTTATAAATTTGATCAAATCACCTTTAACTGTCATTCGACATTTCTAAAACATCATCATATTGAACCCATCAAGCCCAGGAGCCTTATTCCCATCACAGTTTTTCACTACTGCTACTATTTTTGCTTCAGAAAATTCAGCTTCTAATGTAGCTCTAACCTCAACTCCCCCAATGGACTTAAAAGGACCAAATAAGCTTGGTCTATTGGACCAATATTCAATAAACTGATTTTTAAAATGCTGCAGGACTTCAGCCCTAACAACTGCAGGATCTTCCTTTATAACCCCATCCACAGTTATTGAATTCAATGCATTTTTATTGCTCCTGGAGGATGCCATGACGTGGAAAATTTTTGTATTTCTGTCCTCTTTTAATGCCCAATTAGTTTTGGATTTCTGCATCCATATCCATTCCACCATTCTACTCAATTTCTAAGCTTTCTCTTTTGCCTTCCTTCTTCTAGTTAACTTTGATTCAGTCAGAGATCTTTCCTCAGCTGCCAAATCAAGCCTATGGAGTTCCTCCTCAAGAAGCTTAAGATTGTGTTCCACATTACCAAAGACCTCATAGTTCCACTTTTTCAAGGCCAAGTTTAAGTGTCTGGAATTTCTTTAGACATTGGAATCCAGCCCAACCAACCACAGTAGTTTCAGCCCAGATTTTCTCCACAAAAGCTAAGAAAGATGGATGTAAGGACCAAGCATTAAGAAAAAATGGCTTTGGACCCCAATCCCTCTCATCTTCCATAAGCAAGATAGGGCAATGGTCTGAGATTCTTCTAGGCAATCCCCATGGTTTAAAATTAAACTTATGTATCCACTCCGGGCTAAGTAAGAACCTATCAATCCTACTCCACTTCCCTCCATCCTGTGAGTTACACCAGGTGAATTTCCTTCTCATCATTGGCAGATCACACACTTCTAGGTTGTCAATTAGTTCATTAAACTCTCTTACACTCCTGTCTCTCCTAGAACACCCTTTTTTTTCAGATAGACACTTGATTTCATTAAAGTCACCCCCAAGACACCAAGGTTTGTCATATACTTGATTTAATCTAATTAAGCTATCCCACACCATTCTCCTTCTAATACTATCACCACACCATTCTTCTTCTAATACTATCATTAGGGCCATATACATTAACTAAAACATATTCAAAGCTAAAAAAGAGGGTACCTGACAGAATAATGAAATTCTTGTTGGAATAGCAGTCCAGCATCTGAAAGACATCTGGATTCCAAATGCATAATAGCCCACCGACTACACCATCCGAATACACTGCCATGAATTCCATCTTTTCTCCAGGCCAAATTAGTCGCACAAACTCCTCATTAATTGAAGATTTCTTTGTTTCCTGTAATAGTACCATATCCATCTTTCTTTCCAAGAATAGCTTTCTGATTTTACTCTTTTTAGCAGGCTTTCCAAGCTCCCCCACATTTTAAGATAAGATCTTCATAAGGGAACTAAATCAAAGCTCCAACCACCTGGGACTGCAGATCAAACTGCATCTCCACCCCTCCTCCTCATCATTTCCTTATATTGTGCTTCCACCTCCATTAATTTGCTTATAACTTCCCCCTCATTGCCTTCACAATTTAGCCCCAAAACTTGGCCAATCTGAAGTGATGCTTCTGCCTCGTTCAACAGTCGTTGGCCACTGCCAGATTTACTAGGCATGGATAAAGAGAGTGCTACAACAGCGGACCTGAAAATGGCTCCATTTTCTCAAGTTTAGAGAAGATCATCCACCAATGTGAAGAGTGCCTTTTTTTACTTCCATAAGATCTTGCCACACTTTTAGCTTTATCCTTCTTAGTTAGTTTCCTTTTTTGAGCATTTGTAACAAACTTACCTACGACCAAGGCTTGTTTCCTATTGTCCAATCTGATCTGAAGACCCTCACCCCTCTTTGGTTGTTCTAGTTGCTCCTTACTGGGCTGTGCCTCAATCTCAGTTTATCTCAGAAGCTCTTTGGCCCATCATAGTACCACCCTTCAAAACATGGGCCTTATTTAAAATTACTTCAATATTAAACCCAAGCCTATTGATCTCAGACCCACTAATACTCCTCATGTAGCCTGGGGTAGCAATTTCATGCACAATGTTTTGGTTGCCTTCAGTTTGAAAATGCATAGAACTCAACACTGCTGCAGTCGGCTTTTCTACCCATGCACCCCTAAAATTTATCCTTCTCATGTTATTGTTAGTCTCTTGCACCTCAGACGTGCTAAGCCACCTATCATGCCTTTCCATGTCTTTTTGCTCATCATGCCTTACCTCAAATTCTCTAGCCTCCACGTCAATTTCTTTGTCCAGCTCACCTTCAACCCATCCCTCCACCTCAGTCCCACTCTCTTTTTGCTTGCTCTCCACCTCTGACGCCTGGTGAATGGTGTTCCCATATGAGCTATGATTATCACCATTACTATGCAAATTACAACACTTACATTGTTTATAGACCACCTTCGAGATAACCACCTGCTTTTCACAAACCTTTACTAGGTAGCTCACAGCTTTACAGTTCAAGTTGATAGTCGTATTAATGGACTCTTTACAGCTTGTGGCTATTCTCACCTTCCCACAATGTAAGGATTGCATTCTAACTGTATCATCATCCATACCAACAATTTCCCCCCACAATTGCCCTATCTTTTGGAATGTTATGTTATTCCATAAGTTCAGTTGCACTCCATAACATGCAAGCCAAGTAACTCTTTCTTGTTCAATAACCATACCTTGTTTCCATTCTTTTATTGACTCATACCATTCATGTATCCAATCCTCCATCAATTTTGTTAGACTTATTTATTTTGATGATTTATTTAATTATGTTTTAATTTATTTGAAAGAGAAAAATAGAATCCAAAATTTATTTTGATGATTTATTTAAGTATATTTTAATTTATTTGAAAAGGAAAATAGAATCCAAAATTTATTTTGATGATTTATTTAATTATGTTTTAAATCCAAAATTTATTTTGATGATTTATTTAATTATGTTTTAATTTATTTGAAAGAGAAAAATAGAATCAAAATTTATTTTGTCCCATTATTTCTCACCTAAACTTTTATCCTAAATATTGTTTGAATGTATTTAATATTTGCTTAAATCAGGAGTTCATTTCAACCCAAAAATAATGCCCAAACCAGAGGTTCAAACAGTTAAAAACAAAGGTTCAAACAGCCCAGCACAGTAGCATGCCAAAAGGTTCAAGTGGAAGATATTCAAATTAGTAATGATGGAGTGGAAGATATTCAAATGAATACAACGGCTATAAGCGGTTATAAATTCAAATGAATACAGCGGTTATAAATGGTTATAAGTTTCATTATATATACCAAAGCCTCTAATGTAAACAAGTTAAAAAAAATCAGAAAATATTCTTTGATCTATAATCACTCACATCTATTCTCTGAAAAATTCTCTGAGAAGTATTCTTCAGCTTTTGTTTACATCCTCTTTCAAAAAATTATACACTGAGACGTATAGTTTTAAGCCCATCTTTCCTGTGTGAGGTTTACAGAAAAATCAGAGTTTCATTTTTATATCTATCTTTGAGAGATAATTTTTGTAACTTTCTGTGAAAGCAAAAATACCTTATTTTCAACCTTGTAAGAGTGTAGTACACTCAGTATTCTTGACTTAGAAAGTCTGTGTGAAATCTGTGGAGGATTGCTCCATCTGTGAAAAGGTTGCTAGCACCCTGTGAAGCTAGAGTATAGTGGATAATCTCAAGTGAAGCTTAAGGAGTGGACGTAGGCCGAGTTGAAGCTCAACCACTATAAATTTGTTTGTCTCTCTCTCCCTTATCTCTTTAATTTATTTAAATTGCCATAGCTATATTTCAAATTTTCACTGTGTTAAAATCATTAACTGACATAGTTGTTAGAACATTTGTTTTAATTATTTTTATTTCATTAACTATATTTATCTATTGTGCTAGTCATAATTTTTATTAGGGTATTATTATTTTTATTTGTAAAAACTTAATTCACCACCCTCTTAGGTTGTCTTTTGGGTAACAAATTTCAATTTTTCCTTCATGATTTCCACTGATTCAAAAGTGATAACTATGTCTCTACCTCCTCCATCTCTCACCTGAATGTCTCCCAGTCCTCTGCTCTTCAGTTCCTCTTTAAGCTCTACCACATAACGTAATGGTTTGAGTCTAACAATCACACTGCTATATAACCAACCATTACCTTCTTCAGCAATGTTTATGGTTAGACTTGCATTGGATATCACTCATCTCTCACTGATAGCCTGCACATAGGATTTCCTTCCTTGGACCAAAGTAGGTGCCACACTACTACTGGCCACAGTCCTTTTTCTATCACTTGCCACTCTAGGCCTCTGGTTTATGACCTGTGCTTTGCTGAAATCTGCTACTTTCACTTTCAATGCTTTGTTGTCACACCAAAGACCATGTGCTTTCTGGACTGCCATTCGTACTCCCCCTGGGCAATTGTACCGTACAAAGCCAAACCTTGATCGCATCATCTGCCTCCTTTTGTTGGGTATGAACACATCCCTCACAACCCCAAAGTTAGAGAATAACACATATAGCCCTTTTGGATTCATAGATTTAGGAATCTCATCCACGAAAACCGTATGGATACCCTTTTCTACACCTTTGCTTTACTTATTATTGTCATTCATCTTACATATCTAAAGGGTTGTTTGGAATAATTTAAATAAGTACATTTTTTATTTTTTATAAAAAATATGTAAATAAATAGAGATGTAATATAACCTAAATAAGTACATCTAGTTTATGCCAAACAAACTCTAAATCATAAACAAGTGCTAATGTGTAAGGAAAAATATTTAAGAACTTTAGCCATATGATACAGTGTGTAATTTTAATAAAAACAGTGTGCGCATGATTATTTAATTTTAATTTTTTTTAACAAAATAATTATTTGTCCTTGTATCATTAAATAAGTATTTAAATCGACTAGATTGTGCCAATGTTATAGGATTAAATATAAAACATAATTTTTTGTATGGTTAATTTATTCCCTAAATTATTTTTATTTTTTAAAATTCATTCTTAAACTATAAATTTTTCCTATTGTCTCTAATTTTTTTTTTTTGAGACGATTATACAAATCAATAAACATTAAAGCCTAATTTAATTGAAAAAAAATTATTTCAAAATTTGAACAACTTAAATTTTACAATAGAACTCTCATATTTTATTATTATTTTGAACAAAATACACCTCTTAACCAATTTAATGAGTGTTTGTTTGTATTATTTAAATTGTCCAAATTATAAAATTAGCCTTTTGTCCATCAAATTAAGATTTAACAATTATTAATTTCTACAATCGTCTCCAATTGGACCATGTGAATAGAAATCAGAAATTTCAAGAATAAATAGAAAAAATTGATAATTTAAGAATGAAGTAGAAAAATTGGTTATAGTTTAGGAGAATAAAAATAAAATTAATCTTAATTAAAAAGGGTAAATTATATTAATAATCACAGCTGTAACAAACAAAGCAATTACAGGTTTTTGAATGAATTACCTAATTGAGAAACAAATACAAATGGTAGTACATGATTGGATCAATTGTTCAATAAAAAAGAATTGAACAATGTGACTTTGGTCAAGAAGTGTGACTTTGTGAGCATCTAGTTTTGTGTTTCTGACAAGGCATTGTTGTGACTGGGTGGCTGCACTTAGAAAAATTATTAGGCGGTATTGAGTCACAATGTGATAATATTATTATCAATTATTAAATCTCATGTCGTTGGCTATTCTTTCATGGTATAACATCAAATTATAAATTTTACTCCCTTCATCAATCATAATATTATGAAGCACCACCTGACATGTGCTACGACTACTGCCAAATAACTTCTTCTGCAGTTGGGATCCCATGAGCTCTGAAATATTCTTCCACCTATAATTACAATTTACATTCACCAATCTCCAATGCACAAATTGGAAGGGATAAAACTGTTTTTTGGCAAACAGCTAAAAGTCACAATTTTTTTTTGTTTTTAGTATTCTTTAAATTCTCTCTCTCTCTCTCTCTCTCTCTCTCTCTCTCTCTCTCTCTCTTAAATTTCTCCCCAACTAAGATGTTTTTAGGAACTTTTGAAAAGTCGGATGACATTTGCAAAAAAAAATAGTAAATCTTGGAAACTTTAGGAAAACTTGAATTTTTGGATCAAATTTTGAAATCACTTTTTGTGGGCTTTTTGGGATTTGGTAAAAACTTGGAAAATTTTTTTTTTTTTTTTTTTTTAACTCTCCCTTGGTCCACAGCCCGCCACGTGGAGGTGGGGGTGTTGGGGGTGCCCCGTACTGGGGGTGCCGATCAATGCTCTAAATTTATATCTGTGGTGACACGGGCTTGATTTTGAATCATTAACATGTCCTAGAGTTTTTTATTTTGGGCTATGTTTGGCTATGGCCTTTTAAACCATTTTTTGACTATATAAGATAAATAAATAAATAAATAAGCCAAATTGTTCTATTTGGCAATTGCTAAAATTGTTAATTTTTTTCTTAAATTTTTTTATCATTTTAAGAAAATCTTTAAAATTTGTTGTAATTTTTTTTTTTAATAAAAATTCTCAAATTCTTCTAGTCTTGAAGGGTATAAAACTTAAGAAAAACAATATCAACTTACCTAAATTTTCCCAATGACAAAAAAAATTAT